GCCAAATACCCAGGTATCTTTTTTTTTATCTTAAAAATCAAAGTAGGTAGTTTTTAGCACTGGGAGGAATTAAACCAGATGTAATAGCTATAATTGCTAAAAGTTTTGTCAAGGCCTAGACATAATTAAAATAAACACATTGCCTCTATTTCTCTTTAATGTGTCATTTATATACAAGTCTCCTATTGAGAGCTATATATACTCAAAATTATTGTTAGTTACTGATAACAATTAAATTCATTTACTCATATCTGAATTTTTTATGTTAGAGATAAAAAGATCAAGATCATTATAAATCCACATTTTAAAAATATTGGCAAATACAAGCTTTTCTCCCTGAAATATAGTAAGATGCCACTTGAAACAGACAAAAAAAAATATAAAAAGTATTGCAAAATTATTTTACTATTTTCAGACAATAATAAAAGTAGATATGATTAATATTTTGCTTTAAAAATTACTCTTTAGAGTTAATATATTCTTGAAATTATTCACAACAGAAGAAAAGTAAATAATTATAGTGGTATAGCATACATATCCAATATAATTGGTATCTACGTCTACTTATTCTTCAGTAGGCATCTACTTACTCATTTAAAAAGTGTATTAATCATTATTTTTAATTCATGAAAACTAAAGCCCTTTGTAAACCAAGCATTCAATCTTAGTAATTTAGAATTCTAATGCAATATGAAATAAGATCACTATGAGAAGATATTCTTAGGACTAGCAGTTACTTAACATTTGTTCTCCAGTGTCTGGGGCTAATTAGTTCGGAACCATTTGTAGATAAAATAGGAGTCGGTGGGAAGAAAATACATGTGTATCTTTTTAATGCAACGGTGTGAAAATCCATAAAGGAATAATTCACAAACCTAAATACAAGGAGGGACAAAAAAAGGGAGGAAAGTTATTTTTTTGCTTCCCCTGAGCAAACATGTAATTTCCATGATTTCTTTTTAATGACTGCGGTCCGCGGCCAGTAGGTACTGATTTATGAAAAGCTGTAAAAGATCAGGTGGAACTCTGCAGGACATCGTTTACAGCTGCGCGGATTGAAATCTATCTCATTTGTCCAGTAAAAGTGTGAGCTCACAGTGCACATCACCCAGCCTATAAATTTCCCTTTCAGACCCAATGTCTGGGCCTGGGTCTAAAAAAAAAAAAAAAACGCCAGCTCCTGCAGCTGCTCAAAAAGCCCACATTCCCTTGGTGCGCATGAAGAGACATCACAGGCTCTTCACAGTGAGAGACAAATTCCTATCCATTGATAAACTCTCCAGATGTCCTGTCCTCTCGGAGGAGGAAAGGAACCAATTTTTATTTGAATTCCCCAGAGAAATCCTGGAAGTGGAAAAATGATACTTTGCAGGGCTGGTTATTCTGAGGTCACTGGCATTAAAATTAGGTCATTCTTTGTCTTTATTGTACTTTGATCCAAGTAATAAATAGAAAAACTCAGTTGGGGTCATTCTAATCCGTAATACATATGTCCTGTTCTATTTCAATCTGTTTATGCTAATTTTCTCTAAACTTTTGTTGAGTCTGGCTATAGTGTTGAGTTTAAAAATACAAACCATTTTGAATTGAGAAGAAAAAATTCTGCATTTTGCTATTAGGCACACTTCATAAATATTCTGAATAAATGTCCTGGGGTTTGATTCCTCATACCCACAAACCATAAATAAAAAAAGTATTGCTGTTCATGAGACCAAGAGTTGACAAGAGCCAACATTAGATTCTATGCTACAGCTACCGTAGAAATCTAAGCTGTGGGTGGGGTGTGTGTGTGTGTGTGTGTGTGTGTGTATGTGTGTGTGTGTGTGTGTGCGTGCGTGCGTGCGTGAGCGCGTGAGCGGCACAGATAGTTAATATTTTATTGTCCTCTTTCTAGGTCTTGCCTCATTTTTCTTATAAAAATTTCTCACATCTGATTTAATGTTATTCTTATCAATTTTATTTACTAAGACAATGACTGCTCCAATGGGTCCAATGTTATATTTAATGCTGGCTAGTAACAAAGGCTATTTCATTCACAATGGTCATCTAAAATAAACCAAGAATATCATGTAAGTTTTGGAACCTGGATTGTATATGTATTTGTAATTCAAGTTCTTAAGAAAAAATAAAAACAAGAGATTTTCAATTATTAAATGTTTCTTAGATAAGTAATTTTTAAAAATCATATAAAAGTTTTTATATCTATGTTCCCAATGAGAATAATTTATAAAATTTTATGTTTATATTTTGTATTTTTTATATTCCTAAAGGAAAAAAATTAATGCTTTGTAAAATAATGCCTAATTTTTGTTTCTTTCTACCTTTTTTTAAAAGATAACCTCTGAGGGTTAGTTAAAACTAAAACATAACACATAAACATAAATTAAAAACTCCATAATTTAATTTTTAATTTATAATTAAAACACTTTAGGTAGAGAGGAATGAAGTACTTGAGTTTAACCTAAGGGAAAGAAGATAGAAAAGTTTTCTGCTTTCAGCTGTCCTCCATTTCACAGATTTTTATACTAGGGAGGAAACTAGCTATTGATCTATGTTTTCCACAGAGGATGAATATCTAGGCAGAACCAAATTGTCACTACTATTTTTTCTTAAACATGGCATTATAATTTTATTAAAATTTGACTATTTTTATTAAATAAATTTAATATATCTAAATCAAAAGTCAGATGAATAGTCAATTCACACTTCTTTCATGTGTCCCCAACAACAGAATGCATGTCAACACATTATTTAGATTTAAGAATCTTAACACTTAACATGTATCTTGTATATCAGGAAGTGAGTTGAAGAAATATCATCAATAATAATAAAACTCTTCCAATTAAAAATTACTTTTAAGTGTGGGTAGAGTTCGCTATTTAAGGACTTTCTTCACAGAGAGATTTTCTCATGAGAACATGAACTTTTACCACATATCCCAGATGATAATCGGTGGTTGGTGTTTCTAGATAAAACATGATGCAGTTTAATTGTATCTGAATGGTTTACTTTTTGTAAATTAATGCTATTTCAAAAAATATCATTAGAATTAGTACCTTAAAGAGCTAAATTCATTACTAAAGTAAGGAAAAATACATGTCAGTATATTCTTCATTTGCTTTGGTGTCTTCTGACAACTAATTCTAAATGTTGAATTTGAACATTGCAAATGATAAATTCATTTAGGCAAATTATTAATTTTTTTTATATATACAAACATGGAAAGTTCTAGTTTTAAAAACCCTAATATTGGAGAACTTAATAATTTTTAAAAGTTTCAAGACCTCAATGTTGATTAAATTCAACTTCAGTATCACAAAACATGAAAGATTCTGAATGATAACTCTGAAGAGGTAAAAATCCAAATGTACCTTCTCAATTATCAGACAAATATTAGGTTATGCCACCCTTACAGGATATTTAGTTATGTCCAAAACATCCAGGAAGACATTTGGTCTACATCAAATAGATCCTAGAAATTTGCTAGCATATTAATGCACCATGCATCGGGAGATCCCATCCTCGACTGGTCCTTTGTGCACTTCTCTAACTGTAGAGTTCTTCCTCAGAATGTACAGTTAATATAGGTCCTGCTCTACTATATGATTTGAACCTCTACCCATCTATCCAACTCCATGTTCCATTACCAGTTAAGCTACTGATGTAACAAGGGTTATTAACAATATAGCCACAACGCAGATATTGGCCCAAGAAAACATGATAGCATTTTTATAAATTAACTTATAAACTAAAAGTATAAATAAACATTATGGGCTATTTGAACCCAGGGACAGTTTTAAGAGGAAGGAATTGAGAGGACAATCAACTGTCTTCCTGGTGACAGGTCTCAGTCTCATGAGTTAAAGAACAATTAAAGAGGTCACTGATAGCTGAAAAACATAGTCCAGGCTCCATTTTGGCCTCTTCAGGGAGAATTCATGGTCTCTTTCGTTCCTCTTAAGTTCCTTTGATTCACTAGATCTTGCAATTGTTAATGATCCTGGAAGTTCCTCTTAATGCTGATTTATTGTGTAATATAAAAACAGTCACAATCAATCAATTGATCAATCTCTATATGTGTGTGTGTGTGTGTGTGTGTGTCTATAGAGTGTGTGTGTATATATATATATATGCATATGTATATATATAAACCCACACACACATACTCCGTTTGTTGTGAGGATTTCATTTATTGTTACTCATTTACTTTTTCCCATTCTTTTTATAATTATTATTTTTAATGACACTTATGACATTATTTAAATCTGTGCTTACTTTATGTCCTGCTGTAGGTACAGCCTAGGTTGTTTAAACTGTCTTTTAGACAGCAACTCTACAATATCTACAAAGGAACATCAGTGGGAAGGATATAATATGGTAAACCAAATCTATCACCAAAGCGGACAGCAAATTATTCAGTGTGTCATGTTTGCTATATGGAATCCTAAATTACCGCCATCTTTGCTAATGGTTAAACACATTAAAAAATTAAAGTATGTATGGATATATTTATGCATTTCACTGGCAAAGTTTCAATAATTCAAAAAACAGTCATGAGTGGAGAAGAGGAGCACTGATACAAGACGATTACACAGTATTTTTGCAAGCTGCCTACTTGAACAGATGAAGCCTTCATGGCAGATAAATTCCACAGATAGTCTACGGCCATGCCACTCTGAACAAGCCCTATCTCATCTGATCTTGGAAGCTAAGCAGAGTAGAGCCTAGTTAGTACTTGGATGGGAGACCATCTAGGAAGACCAGGTGCTGTAGGCGTGAAAAATTAAAAATAAATTATTGTAAGCTGACAAAGTCCTTGCAATCTGTGAGGTCAACCAACAGTTGCCTCACCAAAAAAAAAAAAAAAAAAAAAAAATCTACAAATAAACAGGAACAATGCATGAAGTCTGAAAGTTCCTGATGATATTGGGGTCAAATTTTGACATCCAGCAAATCTGTTGAATTCTGATTTCTCCCATTGATGTTTTCTTTTCTTGCAGGCCATCAAACCTTCTTCTGGACCAAAGCAATGTCGACATCACTACCTTCCGTACAACAGGTGACTGGCTTAATGGTGTCCGGACAGCACAGTGCAAGGAAATTTTCACAGGCGTGGAATACAGTTCTTGTGACACCATAGCCAAGATTTCCACAGAGTAAGAAAAAGTTTTATTCACTGCATTAGAAATATTAGTTAAACCTCTGAGATACTTTCTCTCATAATGTTGAGGAGGGTCCTGGGTTTCTCCTCATAAACGACACCTTCTAGATTGACGCATGTTAATGTGTCTTCTTTTCTCACAATAGGTTCCTATAATAGGTGTCTTCACTAAATTATGACCTCCTTTAATAGACTAACAGATACATATGCATACCCAGCCTCACAAACTGAAGCTCCTAATTTAAAACATTAGCAGATATAACGCAGTAATTACTATTTCTGATTTTCTGTTATTTTTAACAAAAACTAACCTCTGTAGAAAGATAAAATTGAAAACTAAGTGGATGAGCTGGTATAGAAGGAAACATGTTAAGTTTTCACAGCTACTGTATAAACATATCATCTATTATTACATGTCTACTCTGTGAAGGATATCATACTTGAAAATGGAGTTATAAATAGGTTTAAGACATGACTTTAATGTTTTTCTTGAAAGGCTTATATTCAGTTTAGAAATACAGAATATGCATAATTAATATGGTTTATGTGTTAAAAACCAATAATCAAGTATAGCAGGCTGTATTTCTTAGACATGACCCTTTTAGTAATAGAAATCCTTTGATATGAGAAACCCATGGGCTTAAGGAAAAGGGGTTTATCGAGTGAATCCAGTGAATAATCCATAATATTCATACTCATTCACAAGGCACAGTAATTGGGAACTGGCAGTGAAGAACTGGAAACTGTAGTCTTCATCTCTCTGTGAATTAGAGCCAATTTACTTCACTTCCTAATGTAACTGCGTCATTGTTTTTTCTTCTTTACAATGACTTTTTCTGCATGTGTGCAGTTAAAAATGGCTTTCTCAGCCCTAGGTCCTACAACCTTGGTGTGCCACTCATCTGGCCAAGACCCAAACCTCTTAATTCTAAGTCCTCAGGAGAATATTCTGATGGGCTCAGTTCTGCTTATAGATTGTCACCTTCAAAGGCATATGTTTACCATGATATAGTCATTTCTATTCAACAGATGTGGGTTATGATAGCAGGAACTTGGCTCTAGGGGCCCTTTCTTAAGGGTAAAATAGAGAACTGTTCCGAGGATAAGTTTTTGTGTTAGTCAGATACACCAAAAATTGTCCACAATTTTGTGGCTTACAATGTCTGTTTGAAAACTGTGTCCATTTTTGTTTCAGAGCCTTCTATCTTTCATCTTTGTTGCTTTAAATAAACTATTAACATCAAGTTCTTTTAAATCTTAACCTCTCCTACCAATATTTAAATATTTAAATGTTAATGAGTATTTAAAGACTTTCATTGTCATTCTGTCAATCACTTAAACAAAGTCAATGTGGAGAGCTACATTTAGATATCAAAAAAGAAAGTGCAGTGTAAATAATAGAGATATAAGTGCCTACCTAAAAATAGGTAAAGAAGTTTATCATTTATGGCATAGCATTCAATTGAGAAATACAAAAAGTCACAAAAGTACCTAATAAGATGGGTATATTACTATTAACGAGAATTGTTCTTAGAAATAAACTCATGCTAGTCTACTTAACATGTGTTGGCATTACTGTTTAAAGGGAAATGTACTGTTTATTGAATAGAATTCTGAGCCAATCTACAATATGCTTTGAGGTTCTGTGGTAGTTATTTTGATTAGACACAATCTCAGGATATATTAATATATTTAAATATTTTTATAAATTCTTATTTTAGTAATATATACACTTAGGGTTATGATATACAAGACACCTGCCTTAGAGCACAGAAGCATAGTAGAGAACAAACACAAAGCTGAATATTTCTGCATCATTGCCAGATTTTCAAAGGCAGAGTTACATAAATGTTTATTCTCAATAAAATATCAACACTCAAAGGTTTTAGATCACAAAACACTATATTGAAGTTGATGAGGCAGAACATTGTTAATATGATTAACTGCTAGCTCATACTTTAAATATACTCAGACACTATAAGCTGTGAATGTTGTAAGAGAGCTATTTGCTTAAAAAAGTGAAGTGGCAGAACTTGTTACATTTCCAACTTAGCAATGTATTTGTGTCAATGATACAGTTTTGGACAGTAAGCTCCTTTTGCTGTCTAGAATATGTTCACTTAATTATTGTTATTATAATTATTTAAACAAACTGTGAATCTACATTCAAAATGAAAGCTGATTTTTCCTGAGAGACTCAGCTCTTTAGGTCCTTCACACTGAGCCAGATGATTTCAGGTCTCTCAATGTCCTTTCTTCTGTCCTTTGTCCTGAATTCCGAGACAACGGAATTAAGATCTATTGACCTAAATAAAATTCCTTGAAAAAAATTATTTTGGGATCTCCTTAGTACCTCCTGTCCCTAGTTTATACTATAAAAATGAGAATTTATAAAAAATATTTAATGCATAATAATTTTGGAAAATCTAATGAAGCAACATTTTCACTTAAATGCTACAAAATATTTTAACTTGATATTTTATCCTTTCTTTTTCGGGCTCAAGTGTATTGTTGAATTTGATTCCTTTAAGTTCCTTTTTTTGTGTGCTATCTAGACTCAATTCAGAAATCATTCCTTTGAAAAAAAATAACTCTGGAGATTCTCCTAGAATAAGACAGAGATACCTAAAAATGATATTAAATTTATTTTATTTTTTTCCTATCAAGACTATCAAGTCACGGGAAAATGTCAATAGTGCTTCATATTCAAATAAGTATTAACTTATTTCAATTAGTTTAGGGATTTCATTTACATGCAAGCTACTCAAGTCATCTAATTTTCAGATAAAATCCAGAAAATGTACAGTTTTATTCAATAAGCATAACATATTTTTTAAAATATTATTTCATAGCCTAAGGTGGATTTAGGAAGGTTAATGTGAGAAGAGAAGAGAGAGTGAAAAGGAGTAAAAGTTACTATAGACTCTGGAGAGACATTTAAGTGTGTAGAATGAATATTAGGCAGATTAATTGTTATATGTCATTATCCTGCCATTTTCAGTGTCATCACCTATCCCTTTGCCTTTGAAGTACCAGATAGCTTATTAACCTCTGGTCTCAATCTTGAGCTGCTCTTTAGTCTTGAACTTTTCCACTGCCCTTCTGAATAAGGTAGTCAAAACAATATAAGCATATGGAAGTGTTACTGAGACCACAGCAGCTAGATATTTAGAAGAATTTTGGACATAGCAGGGTTATGTGTAGAAGACATTTTGGAGAGGGGAGAGAGAATAGAGAGTGTATAAAAACACAAGTGAAAATATAACCTAAAGAGATAATTACTTTAATGATCTTTTCCAATATAATCGTTGGCATTAAATATAAACAAAATTATGTACCTTTTATGCAAAAGATTTTTGAGGAGTGCACCTAGGACATACATCTATAAAAAAGTGATGAGGGAGCATTAAGCTGAAGAAGACTCAGCCGTTCCTGTTGAAACAAAATCCCTAGAGCTGAGATGCCTCCTTAGCATTGTCTCAAACTGGTCTGTGAACCTAGTATACTACCCTGGAACATTTTTTTTTCTTCTATCCATGATTATCATTTTATTTTTTAAGCTTGAAAAGAAGGAGAAAATGAAGAGACAGAGAAACAAGTCAATGAGTCATAAAATATATGATGTAGGATTGGAAGAAAAATGAGAGAAGGAAAACAAAAAGAGAGTGAGATCTATTGATTTGTACACATATATTTATATCTGCCCTATTTTCTGACTCTAGAGTCATAAACTGACTTTGATATAATTTGAAGAGTTGTGGGGAAATGTTTTTATTCATCTTAAAAATAGATCTATGGTATATAAAGAATCACAATCCCATAGAATACACATTCTCAAAAGCAGGAATACATTACCGTAACTAAAGGTTCCATTATGCACAGTTACACAAAGAGTGACAAGCTCGATGTCACTCCTCACTAGACTTCCTAGAGAAGCAAAGCAGCTGAAGAGTATGATTAGAGAGTACCTCAGGCAAAATACAAGTTGTCCACAGAGAACTGATTAGCCTCTTGAATGGCAGCAGGGATGTGACTTGCAGGTCATCAGGAATTTCACTCCCAGGTCAGTTAATAGGAATACACCAGTCATGATTAATTTAAAGCAGTAGATATTTAAATAACATCTAATTTCTTCTTAATGGTTAATTAACTATTTTCTGCTTGCATACCTTTATTGCCTAGGAACTCACTTCTTAAGAAATGTTTGTCCATTTCTAGGTAGTTGAAATCCCAATTTTATATTCTTTCCTTTATGCTCAATATAGAGTAGTCTCTTCTATGTGTGTTTATGTGTGTACGTGTGTGTATGTGTCTTTGTGTTTGCACGTATGTGTTTTTTCTTCTTGCCATGCTCAGTTTTTCTGGAGTTCTTTGCCAAGTGATACTTAACTCCTATGTCAAATTCCCCAGATAAACATATTTGGACTGTTGATTCATTCTTTCGTAAATACATATTGAGCCTCTACTAAATGACAGCTATTGTTCAGAGTGTGGATGATAATCAGAGTCAAAGCCAATAAGAATCCCTGTTTACATGGAATTCACATTCTCGTGGTACAGGATGGAGCATAAAAAAATAATAAATTGAAAGAAAGGCAACATGCTGAATAGTGATAAATGCTTTGGAAGAAAACAAAACAAGAAAATGAGAAGTGGAGGTATGACTGCCTAGAGGATTTCACAATATTAAATAAGAGGATCAGTGAAGTTTCTCATGGGATGGGGATGTTTGAGTTAAGACCTGAAAGAGGCAGATATATGAACTAATTATTCGTTTCAAGAATATTTAATCATTGGTACATGTTTAAATAACTCTTTTTCCTAAAATGAAATTTTTATGTTATTATAATCTTTATTTTTATACCTGGTTTCTGAGTTTAAGCTATTTTAAATTTAATAGCTTTGATGAATAAAGATATTTTATTCTACTTTGGAAGAATTTTATATTTTAAAGAAATTGTTTCAGTTATCTATGTTTGACAACAAACTTCTTCAAAACTTAAGGTCTGAAACAACATTTTACTGTATATCACAATGTTACAGCTTATAAATTTGAGAAGAGCTTTAGCAGGTGATTTTTCTATTGTAGTGTTAGTGTTGAGTGAAACATTCATCTACTGTGAATCTAGTCTAGCTTGGGGGCTTGAGATGGTTGTATTCATGTCCTACCTAGTGCAGATTGCTACATAGCTGAAATTGCAGAAGAATCGCTTACACATGGCCTCTCCAATGTCTCAGGGTAGTCAGATTTCTTATATGGGAGCTTGAGGCCCAGAAAGTGTGTCTCAAGAGATAACAAGTGGAACCTGGCAATTTCTGAAGACTCAAGTGCAGCAACTGATACAGCATCGCTTCTGACATTCTGTCAGTCGAAGCAGTCCCTAACTAGCCCAGATTCAAGCAAATGAGATAATGCCCCAGAAAAGATGTGTGACCATCTCTATTAGTGTCCTACGGCTGCCATAAAAAATTACCACAAACTTACTGGCTTAAACAACAAATATTTATTTTCTAACAGTTCTGGAAGCTAGAAGTCAGAAATCAAGGTATTGGCAGGGCCACATTTACTCCACACTTGCTCCAAAATCTCTAAGAGTGAATCCTTCCTTATCTCTTCCAGCTTCTGGTACAACCCAGCATTCCTTGGTTTGTGACAACATAACTCTAATCTCTGCCTCCATCTATACATGGATTTCTTCTCTGTGTTACTGTGTGTCCTATCTATAATAAGAATAGTCTTATTCAATTTGGAGCCCACCCTAGCCCAGTATGATTTTATCTTGATCCTCATCTTAATCACATCTGAAAAGATTCTATTTCCAAATAAGGTCACAAGGTGAGGTTCTGGGTGGATAGAAATTTTGAGGGGACACTATTTAACCCACTATATCATTTATGTTCTTCCATAAGGATAGAGGTGGAATGGCCAGGATATAATACATAGATGATGAAAAAATATTAGGTTCAAAACACTGGGATATATGATTGTACAAGCTTTGCTACATGAAAATCTCATGCTTACATACTATCCAGGAAACCATGATTCTCACCAGATATTTTCTCCTTTTCTACAGTGACATGAAAAAGGTTGGTGTCACTGTGGTTGGACCACAGAAGAAGATCATTAGTAGCATTAAAGCTCTAGAAACACAATCAAAGAATGGTCCAGTTCCAGTGTAAAGTGCTACTTTTGGAAGGAAATGGTGGCTGTAGAAGACATAGCATCACTCTGCAGACAGATGATAATGCTGGAAATACTGTTGGAATTTCCAAGCCCAATAAGATACTCAGATATGAGTACAAATGCCTTAAAATGGAATTAAAAACTCTTTATTTTCCCTTGTCATTTAGTGGATGGGTGAGTGGGTGTATTTTGTTTTGTAATTGATTTTTATATTAGTTTATGGATTAAATTAAAATGTTTCAGCACGAAATGATGAAAAACTAGCATAGAACCATTGAATATCTTCTGACTATGAAAAAAACAAACACGTGAATAACAAAGCGAATATGGTGGCTCTGTTTGCTAATAGCCACAAAAGGAAAGACTTGTGATATTTTTATACACAAAAGAAATCTGTAACTGGTATTTTTTTCTTTAAAAGCAAGCAAAACAGAGGAATTTATACCTCAAACTATCTGGCCATACTTACTACCTTTTCATTGTATTATTCTCTTTTATCTGTTAAAAGCATATAGAAAGGAAGACTGTAGTTGTTTTAAGTACTACACATTTTTCATTGTTAGCTTCCTTAAGTATTATCGTGTAAAAAAATCTTAATTTTGAAGAAAAATACATATTTATTTTCTTTTGAATTGTTTTTGTTTTCTATTTATGCCTTGATGATTTAATTTAGATTTGTTACAGCCAAGTGCCAAATGCCCTCACAAATTGTCAGCAGTAGGAAACATGGTAAACTAGACATAGAGAATGATGGACTTTTTTCCAGATTTTTGAGCCATCTACTTATATGTATCACTATCTATATGTATAAAAAGAAAGAAACCAAACTCAAAAATCTCTCATTGTCTAAATTATCTTATCCATTTTTGTCTCTTCATTTGTTATAAACTGTATGCTCCTAATTTAGTGTAATATACTGGCTTGTATGTAATGGATTCTCAATGACATACCTGCCCTACAATGATACTTAGGAAACCATTAACTCCATCTATTGGTAAAGAAGCTATATTAGAGCTCTTAAATAGAAAGTAGCTACCCCGGAAAGAATTTAAATTTTATTTAGATGGCTGCATTAATTGGCAACACAGCCTATAGACCAATGCATGAGTCAAAAAATCACTTGCTGACTGGCTTTGAAATATCACTCAATATCTTTGCTTAAAATTGTTGAGCTGTTTTTAGGGAATGATGATAACTCAACTAGTCATCTGTATCACTGAGATTTAGTTAATTTAACATTATGATCATTAATAGCAGGTATTATCTCAAAGAGTCTTCCACTGAAATGCACCTGTTGTAATTTTGGTGTATAGCTTAGAAGCATTTACTGAGCACATAATTTTCAAAACAGATGGTTATCTAGCAAATGATTCAAAATCTGTAAACAGTGGAGAGATCTCTCATTGCAGGAACTTAGACTTACTATTCCATAAAGGTCAAATAGGCACATACTCAGTAATATTTGAAAAGATGTACCTGGTGGAGATCTAGCCACTAATATATTGTGAAGCAACATTTTAGCTCTATCTATATTTCTTCTAATGCTGATATGATCATGTTATGGAAAAAGAAATGCATACGTCACAAGAATAGAATGAATAAAACAGTGCTGCAAAATTTATGTTCTCATGCAAAATGGAACATTATATAGCTTACAATCACAGATCAAAATTCACAAGTGCTTATCTGTTATAAATTTAGTGTCATAATGCTTAGGTTGTGATCCTTCATATATGAGATTATTTCTTAAATTTGGCAATATTCCTTATAACCAAATCATCCAACTACAATTTTGTATTGGATGTATAAGAGCATGAATTTTTTTAAAAAGATATATGTAATTATGAAATTAACTACAAATTTTACATAAACCAACTAGAAGCAGCTAAAAAACATTTTTGATCAAATATTTTGTTGTAAAATGTTAGATTGAGATCTGAGTCTGGCTTGAGTCTCGTTTTATCCCACACTAGCATTTACTTTTGTAGATACTATTCCAAACATACTCAAAAAAATCTGTGCATTTCATGAACTAATAGAAATCAAGAATTATTGAATCTTTTTTCACTTAATTCGGCTGTCGTGTCCATTTCAAAGTAGAGATTGTATACACAGTATATTGCTTTTCGTTTTTCACTATTTTTCTATCTGACCTCTTATAAAATTACTTTACACAATTCTTACCCTGTACATATGTAAACATAACAGTGTACGATTCTTAACTGTGGAGTAGAGGTACTAGAATGCTTATGGCCATCTCTTTGTACAGGAACTGCATTGATTTTCAATAAACATGAAACCACATCTCCTTCATAACGTTATGTACCATATTATTGTTTTGTATCTTATATTTGGTTTACATATATTATTTATTTCTGGTAACTTGCCCAGATTTTCTGTCCTAAGTAGCAATTAAACCATGTATAAATGTGATATGATTGGCAATATGTATTTACTTTAAACTTGTATTTTCAAAACATTACTCATCTAGTTTATGTTGTACAATGTAGATGGCCTCTTACTAATGTAAAATGATTTGTAGTGGAAACATTTATATTTTTATAATAAACATAATGAAAATATTTTTTACAGATTGGAATATAGAAGTGGTCTTTGAAGCTTTTTAAAATTTTATTAAATATGTGCTTATTTAAACAGCAAAATAATGAAATTTATATGTCATGAAGAATGTGCTTCTGTTTCTTTTTTCTCCATTAGTGAAGAGGGATTTATGATATATAATCTACATTTTTTGTCTAAACCTCATTATGAGTAAGCTAGAACAATAATCAGTAAATATTATCTTTGTGATTCAAAAAACACTGTATCATGCAGTTCTCTTTTGATTACAAGTGACAAAAACAAATAAATTAGTTTAAGGGAAAAAAAAATTTTAGTCCATGTGACTGAAAAGTAGGTAGATAAACTTCCTAGCTAAGAGATCAGACACAGATGGATAAAATATAACTTTTATTTTTTGTCTTCAATGGTTATCTTAACCCTATTTTTCTACTAACTAGGTTAATTTGAAGATTTAATATTTTCAATATTTAAATCTTTTAAAATATTGCTATAGTTTATATAATGCTACATTGTAATCTCAGTGAGATAATTATTGTTCCTCATCTGTTCTGATAGTAATTCTGGAGCCTAACTTGGCTCACAAGCCCTATCTGAATTGCTTGGAAAATGAATTACTCAGATTGGCAAATACTCAGTCCTGTGCTTACCTTTGGAAATAGTGGATATAGTTATGTGGAATTGATGATCTGCGGGGATTAGAGGTGTCCAAGTGGTTTACATTCAAAAGAAAGTCAGGATATCATTTTTGGGGAAAAAAAGAAAAAAAAAGGATTTTTTAACAGGCCAAATAAAACAAATAAAAATCAAAAAAAAAGAAAAGAAAAAACACAACTGCAACACCTAATATTTTGTATAAAGTGGGTCCCTAGTCATTTGCAATCTACTTAAAGAAAATTATTGTACATAAAAACCAATAAAGCTAACTAAAAATGTAAGGCTAGATAAGTGAGCAAGACTTGAACAGAGGTGGAAGTAGATAGGGAA